ATAGTTCGCCGACTGTCATTAGAAGCACACACTAGATTTAAAACGATTAATAGTGAATTAAATTCATAATATTTTTCATTTTTGAATTTAGTTGTTAAAAATTTACATTTTTCTCTGTGTATACTTTAAGATTTTTTAAAAACAATCGTACGTACACCGGAAATCTCTATTAAAATTTATATTAAATGTAAATTGTTATCTTAAATGTGTATTTTTTACGCGATTTTTTTTTTAAATAGAAATACACATTATAACACGTACATACATTATTATTTATTATAAATATGTATTCTGGTATTTTAGAAGAAAAAATGTTTATTCTTTACAAAGTAGCTGGAGCGAAGAAAATGCGAAAAAAGAAGAAGAAGAAGAAAGGAAATCTTTAAGATTTATTTGCGTTTGTTCAATAACTTGCAGAAAACAACAATTTTCATTTGTTTCTGCCGCATTTAATCTTAAGTATATATTATATAAAATATACAGTGCTTAATTGAGATATTTTGACTTTTAAAGTAAATGCCGTGCTATTAGTATTTATGGTTTAAATAAAGTTTAATAGGTATGTACATTTTTTTTGTTTTTGTATTTTAATGTTGCGTACCTTATATTAAAGCTTATTTGTTTCTTTTCGTGGTTTCTATTTTTTTATTGTATATTAAGAAAAAAATTAAAATTGGTGCTATTTTGATTTGCTCCACCATTATGTACATTAAAATTATTTTAAGAAACGTATTATTTTATTAACTGTGTATGAGGTATAATGGAGGGCTAAATGAGATATAGTGTCATAAAATATGATGTTGTATTTTTGGATGAGAATGAAAACTTTGTTTTACAATTATTTGGAAATTGAAAGGAATTATAAAATTATGGGAATGAAAAATTTTTTGAAGAGGTACTTAATTTATGGAAATGTACGGAAGATTGTCTAAAAGGGATGTTGATTTTTAAACAGGGTAAACAGGTAGTTGGTAATTATATAAATTTTTTTATCCTACTTCGCTTCTGCGGAAGGAACATAGGGCTGGTGCATGATATCGTACATAACCATGAACCATAAATTCTTGCGTCATTGAGTTTTACTAGGTAGGTAACTACCCTACCGCATTCTTGTATAATTAGAGTCTATAATTAATAGTTGTAAATAATTAACATTGGCTTTATAATGGACTGGCACAGTTCTTTGAGTGTGGAAAAATTTATGATTCTATATAGAAATTCTATACAATTAGTCAACGAATTTATTAGATCACCATTCAATCAAATTCTGGTTTCATATTCGGTTTTGACAATTGCAAAGTTATTTATTACCATAAATGTTCCTATTCAGTGCCATTAGTTGAGAATATTCGATAGGTAAAGAAATTTGTTTCATTAATTTCTTTATTTTACTTTTTATTTTAGACTTTGGGAAATTCCAAATTTTTTTTTTAACTGCCTTTTATACCATCTATTGTACTATATTGCATGTTTAATTCTACTTTAAACAAATTATTGACTCATCGAAATATAATTTTTGTTTAAGAAGACATTTTCGCTTCTTATGTTATCAAAGGGCAAAAAAAAAAATTTAAATATATAAACGACAAGTTGAATGAGCCCATAATGTTTTTGTATAACTTTAATAGTATGTTTTAATTATTTGAATTCAATGTTTATGGAACAGTTTCCGTTCTTATAAGGTAAAAATGTTTATTTTGGTTCATGCAATACTAACTTTGCATTGTTTTCAACGCGTCTTAATTATTTGATTTACTTCCCCTTGTGTTGGGTCATTCAAAATTTAAGCCTTTTGCATTTATGTTAATTTATCAGTGTTGGTGGCTTTACTTCCTATATTGCCGCACTAACTTTTTTTTTATTTAACAATTGCTCTGAAAGAACTTGAAGCATATGATAGTTAAAGGATTTGCTAGCACAACAGTTCTTAATTCATTCTTTTCTCAAAGAGTTCTGTAACAAACTTCGGTAGAAAACATTTCGGGAACTGCATTTACTACGCTTTAGAATCCAAAAAACTTTTTAAAGAGATATTAATGTTATAAAGAGTTCTATACGCGTATTGTATGGGTTTCTTATAAAAGTAAATTTATTTAAGAATTACTTTTCAATACGGCGCTGCTCATTTTTGCTATAAAACAGGGGTTCGATGAAGCGCAGTGTTTCAAAAACAAGTTTTTGAAATTTTGAACTTTACCAACTTTTTTTAATTTTTCAACATTTTCCTGAAAATTTCAAACGAAAAACAATATTAAGTATAAAACTAAAGGTTTTTATATCTTTGTCCTTGGCAATGGCAGTAAAAGTTTTTCTAGACATATTACTTACATATCTATGCATCTATATGTAAATATATTGTAAATGTAAATGAAAACGTTTTGTAAACATATTTAAAGAGTCTTAGGAAAAAATTTCTTTGAGAACATTTTTATTTTGTAATTTCTTTTGAACCATGGAATTTTTTATTATTCGTGATTTTGGTTTTTTTTATTGGATTTTTATGTTACCTTAACTAAATATATATGTATAGTTGTTTTTATATCAAAAAACAAAATAATGTTGCGAAACGAGTATAGTAATTAGAGTATAGTAAAAATAAAGTTGTTAAATGAAAATTGCGAGTATTATGAATGCGATTTTCCGGTATGATTTTTTTTTTTGCAAAATTTAGAAGGTTGTATTGAGTATGACATCATAAGTCTGAACTAGAACTTCTGGGCTTGTATTTCCTATGAATTTTTGTTTTTGATTATGTACTTCCAGAAAGAGGTTTCTAAAATACAAGAACTTCTTTGAATATATGGCCCCATCATTCGAACTTACCAGTTATCATTACATGTTTTTACATTTTTGTAATTAATTAAAAAATGTACAAAGTTTCTATTGCTTCGAAAGTCAAAACTTTTAGGATTTATAATAGTAAAAAAAGTAATGGTAAAAGTGAAAGTGGTTGATGCAAAAGGATCCATAATAACTAAGAATGCTTACAAATTCCAAAATGAAAAAAATTTTTTGCAATTATGCAACACTTTTAATGATTGCTTAACTTTTCAAATTCTTCTATTCCTCACCAAAAATATTTAAATTTTATTTCATTTTTTATTGGTTGGTTCATAATACATATTTAAAAAAAATTTCTTAAAATAAACTGGAATAATTTTATAGTTTTTTTTTTTATTTTTGTTCTAATAATAACTTTTTAAATAAAGTTCTACATAACCTGCTCACATTTTTTAACTAGTAATCTTTAAAGCTCTATTTGAAAGATAAAATAAAAACAAAAACTGATACCTGTTAAGTTGTTAAAAAAAAAGTCTTATAAAAGAAACTCTTAAAAAAATGAAAAGAACAAAAATATAAAAGAAAAAAAAAATTTGTGCGAAAAAATGAATTCATGGGTGTCAGCTTTCAAGAATTTTTTTTCTCTGTTGCTCATTTTTATAAAGATACATGTGATTGTATTATGAGAAAAATTGCATACAGAAATAACAAATTAGGAACAAATTAAGTGATCTGTAAGGAAGCTCATTTCCTACCAGCTACATTTTCGAAATATGTAGTATTAAATTCTTTAATTGAGCAAGTTCAGAAGAATCCTGTATAATTTTTAAAGTCGAATATTGAATAAATTATCAATTTCTCATGAACTTTAAAATATAATATTGGTTACGGGGAGTAAGAAATGAGATGGAATTTCATCTCTTCCATGATAGATGGCGTTATAGTGGCATAATTTTTGCAAATAATTGTACATAATTAAATTACGAAATTGCGGTAACAATGTAATCATCATTATCAAGTTCTTCAACACATCGTAGACAAGTCAAATTTGCGATATAAAGCATTTTTAGTTTACAGTATTAATAAAATTAAGTGAATTCGCCGGAAAACGGACTGACAAACAGTATATAATAATATTGCAATAAAAATTTGAAATGTGCAATCAGAAATTTTTATAAAATTTTCTTCAATATTTTCTTTGAAGTTTAAAATCACCTGATAATAAAAATTCTCGATGTCATATTTTCCTTGTAATACAGGTAAAGTAAGTAAAATTATTATTTTGATTATGTCTTTTCTGTTTCTTGTTCCCCTATTTTATATATGTTTCATAATGTTATATAAATTGAAGACATTAACCTCTCAAGAGTGTCGATTAAATATCTTACAGTATATTTAGATATTACGTTTCTCAGATCTTTTACTCAGTTTTGTATTATAAGGATATACATATATACATATTACATGATATATGTATATGTATATGTGCACTTACTTATAGTATTTATGATTTACTACTTAAAAAAAACAATCGAGATTTAAGTATAATATGTAAGAACATTCCATTGAAATGAAAATTGATTGATTCGAATCGATTATATCAGATATTTGTATGCATGTGTGTATGTGAAGAATTTATGTCAGATTTAACATTATAATTTTATGTATATGCACATATTTTTATGTTTTATACATTTAATATTAAGAAAAAATTACAGTAGTTTAGAATCTAAATGAAATATTAAGCGTTTAAATGAAAATAAACTTATTTTAAATTGGATTGAATTGGTAATAATTTTAAAATATTTGTAGATAGAATTAATTTTAATGATGATACCGACATGAATCAAAGAAAAATCAAAAATGTCACAAGATTATAACAAAGGAATAACAATGTTTTCTTATTAAGTCAATTGAAAGTGCTAAATTTCTTAATATTTAGTCAGTTATCACAAAATTTTGACGTAATAGATTTTACAAATTATTAAAGTTGTTAATAAGTAGGGATATATAGAAGCCTCCGAGATAAGTGTATACAAAATTAGTTAAATAAAACTTTTAATTTTCAAAATGTTAATTAAATTTTGACAAATATTTACTTAAATTATTCTAAATAAAATGTGTAAATTATCAAAAATTCAAATAAATAAATTAATTAGAAAAAAAATATTTAATTTTAAATCTAAAAAATTAATTAAATCTTTTTTTTTTCTTTTCAGGTAAGTGTGATAATTTTCTTAGACATGATTTTCAAATAAATTGGCGTAAGCTGGTACGTAAATTTTATGTAAAAAATTAAATTATTAGAAAATTACATAATTGGCATCCAATTGTTGTGCTAATTAATGTTTTATAACAACATGAGTTCTAATATCAAAACGGAAATTGATTGCAAACAAGAAAAATTAGAGTTGACTCTGTGTTAACTCTGTGATAGCCATTTCTGATGTTATGAACTACAATAAACAAATGGACAATATTTTCCTATTTGACCCGGAAGAGATGTGATTTCAACTGTGTAATGGAAAGGAAAGAGAACGATTTCAAGAAGTTTGAATGTTTTCGACTTTTTGTGATCTGGCATCCCCATTTTGTCTGTATACGGTTATTGATGTGGTTAAATCTCAAAACAGTTCCCGTTGCAATTTTAACAGTTTAATTTAGTTTCAAAGTGATCATTTTTGATTAAAAACATTTTGAAAATAACGCAGATATACAAAGAAGTCAAACTTTGCAAGCGAAAACAAAGTAATCAAAAAAACCATTCATATACAAAGTAATTGGATGATGTTATTTATACAAATTCTTGGAACTATAATTCCTAATTAATACAAGATGTAACAAATTTTTATTTTAATATATACAGAGTAATTCAGCAAAAAAAAAACAAAATTATATCTGATTATTTAGGCCAGGGCGTAGAAAAAAGGTAAAATTTTTTGTTTGGAAGTAGTTGTTAAATACAGGGATTTTACGAAATACAGGAATTTTATCGAATTTCCACGAAATTTCTATGCAAGCTTGTATTAGTCCTTTCAAGAACGGTTTGTATGAACGTTCTACCTTTTTCGAAAAGGAAGTTATATGCAAGAAAGCCTGGGCAAGTGGAAATTTCATGAAAATTCGTTAAAATTCCTAGATCTCGAAAAGCGTTGAGATTTGACAACTAGTTTTTGATGCACTAAGCAATGAGACATAATACTGTACTCTTTACAGAATCACTCTGCATACAAGATGTCTATTGCTATGTAAAATTATAATTATTGGGTAACATATTTTGGTTGTAATTTTGCCATATCACGTTCATTCCCATAGCCTTAGCTTTGTTATATTAACTTTATTTGTATTTCCTAATGATTGAGAAAAAATAATTATTTGTCATCAAAATTTCTTAAAAATTTTCAGTTTTCCGCGCTTTAAACTCGAACCATAATATTTTTACTATCTCAAACCTATATTATTTATACATTCACACATTCATGCAAATGTGCTTAAATTTTCAATTCAATTTATAAAATTAATTTTTTTTTCCATAATAATATTTTCATTCTTTCGAAATATTGTTAAACGAATTATTCAGAAAAAAAAAGATATTTTTAATATTCAGAGAGAAAAACGTGCAACATTAATGTAAACATAATTGTATAAAAATCTATTCATACAATTATATAAATATATAACAAAGAGACGTGTTACATAAATGGTGTCTACCAGACATACACAAGATGACTGATTTAATTTAAATTTTTTATTTGAATTTTTTTTTTAATACTTTCGTAACACATGTCAATATTGATTTATTTATAACCATAGATCAGATTTTGTAGAAAAACTTTATGAGCCTAAAAATATCCTTTTTTTTTGTGCCTTTGCTCTATTGTCATAAGAAAAATAGAAAAAAAATTTAAAGGGAAAACAAATTAAATAAAAGTTCAGGGAATTTGTGATTTTTTTTTGTATATGAATACGACGATGCCGACGGTGACGACAACGGTCTATGAATTTGAATAAAAATTTTTGTTAAAAACTTTTTTTTTTGTGAAAATTGTCAGAGAATATTGTGTTTTATGTGCGGGAGTGAATATTTTTTTTTTTAATAATTTTTCAAAAATTTGCATTGAATGTTAACACATAATAATATTTTAAATAAAGGTCTTCTTTTTTTAATATATAGGAAATATTGGCATAATTTAGCAACTCTTGATTTAAATTAATTTAATAACAAACAAGTAAAAGCGTTTCAGTCGGTACAAATCCACTGAATTATACCTTGCACCTTGACAATCTAAGTTCAAAAATTCGTTTTTAAAATATTTACAATTAGCTGTCATTTCACTAGAACTTCACGAAAATTTCTGACTTGAAATTAGACACACGACTGCCAGGTTTCCTGTTCTTCAATATATTTTTTTTAAATATTTAAAATTAGCTTTTGGAGTTACGTATAGCAGCTACCTGAACCTGTATAATCATTTCTAAAAAATTTCAGAGATATACTCATATCTCACCTATAATTAGACACACAAGTTTCATGAATTTTTGGAGTTGTATGGGTGCTACCCGAACCAGTGCAATAACTTTATTAAAATTTTCAGAATATGTGTAGAATTTAATTGAGAGGTTACTCTTTGTGTTGTATTTCAGTCACCTACACCCATTGTCCGAATTGGACTAACTACAATAGCAGCCGTCCTCGACAGAAAATAAATAACTTGTGAAAGTTTAGTGTCGATTGCAATATGCGTTTTTGAGTTATAGTGCGATCGGACGGTCGGATTGACGGACACAGAATTTTACGCTGAGCAAGTGTAGAACAAGTCAATACCGTAGACTATTCCTTTAATTGGTTACAAACTCCATACCAGATTTAATATACCCTTCGCGAAGGTGTACGGTATAAAAAGAATATGGTGCAAGAAAAAAGAGATTTTAAAATTTAATTTGAATAATTTAGGGAATTATTTTATTTTTAAGCTTTTAATTAAGAATTTATGTTAAATGGTCTTTTTAAAACATATATTTTAAGGATTTACCGTAAAACGATTGAATTCAATATCGTACAAAGTTATTTAGATTTTTATTTTTAATATTTTGAGTAACTTAATTTTTTTTTTTTTAAATTAATTCAATCGGCATCTAAAAATGTTTAACGGTACAGAAATTCGATTTTCGGAAAGTATGTCACTTACATTCCTAAATTCTAAATGTGTAAACAAAGATGATATCGGCTTTCAATATTAATCTTTAATTTTTTATTGAAAAATGCGGAATATAAGATGAAAAATAAAATTGCACGAAAATTTACACGAAAATTTACACGAAAATTTGCTAGACAGTATAAAATTGAATTATTCTACATTCTTGTGAAGTAGAAGTGGTAATATGAGAAAAACGCGTCTCTCTTTTATTATTTTGCAAATTTTTTTGAAAAATTAATAAATGTAAAATTACTCAAGTAATATTCCAAAGAATTTGAATTCACCGAATTTTTTAAAATTAAATCCGATTACTGCGAATCTAAAGATTAAAAAAAAAGTTAATTATGTTCAAATTAATTTTATTTCTAAATATTAAAATTTATTTGTGTTACGTTCCTATATACTTATACACTTTATTTATTATTTACCGCAATGTAACAGAATCATTTAATATTTCAGAATTAAAATCTGAATAAATTTTAAAATAAATCTCAAAATATTTTTGTTTTTTCACATTTATTGTTGCTAATCCGCATAATTTTATGTTTTCTAAATAAAAAGAGAGAAATATTTTAAAATTGTTTTGGGTGGATTAATGTTGCTGAATGGTATATATACGAAAATTATATTTAAACACGATATTTACATGTGTTTGTATAGAAGTATGAGCATAAAGTGTTTTTACTCTTGTATAATTCCTGGAAATTAATTTCTTAAGCGAATTTTCAAATACCTAAATATTTTTATAGGTGAATTTATTTCCTTGTATGCTGTTTATTATCTTTCATGGAAAATGTATAAACAAAAGTAAATTTTTATTTTTTTATTATTATTTTTTAATTTTTCTAATAGACATCAACCAAAAATATATATGGAGGTATCTATATGTAAGTATATCAAATTTAAACTCGAGAATTTAGAAATTGGAAGTGTGATTCATTTGAATTTATTTAATTATTATTTTTGTGAATGAAATTTGAATGAGTCTGTAATTTGAGAAATTTGTAGAGATCTTAATTTTTCAAGAAGTTTGAGGAAGTTGAAAAAAACTAATTAATTTCATTAATGGATTTTATCTGTATGGGGTGATGCGATTTCTCGGATTCTAGTGTCAACACAAGCATGAAATTATAAATTTTAGTAATACTTCCTCTTAAATATTATTAAAGAGGATATCACATGCATTTGAATTTGCCAAACTTAGAAAGAATTTGTTATATATTTAACAACTGTTCAGCAATTACTTCTTCGAATCAAGTTCCTGACACCATGGATTATGCTAGTTAGCATCGTTTTGTATTTCTATTTAATACCATAAATTTAATGTTCATGATCAGTTTTTTACAGTCTCTATATAGTTCACTATATCATTGATTTTTTTTACAATTTTTTATGACACCAAAATATGTATTCCTAAACCAAATCAGGTAGCGCGATGACTCATATGTATACCAAATTGAAGTTCAGTTGATAAGCTTGTCAGTTGTGCTAAAATTGTAGAAAGCTCCAATGTTAGTTAGAAAATTAACGTTTTTTAAAAATGAAAAGTTAAAATTTCAAATTTTTGGAACTTTAAACTAATCTGAGGTCTTCAAATCATATTTATTAATACGCCTGTCTTACACAGTCGCGAAATTATACTTAAAATATCTAAAAGTAAAAAAATCAGTCGAAATTTATTTTAAGCCCGTGTAACTCGAAACCTGTTGAGCTGTGAACGTCGTCTCCATTCAAAAGTTTTGTCTACTGATGAGAGCCTATAGCAGTGAAATTTGTTACGAGACACCCCTTATCAATTCTTTTGGAAAATCATTTGGGCGGATTGGTTTTCTAACAAATCTCGTAGATCTTAATCATATACATATATCGAAATTTCTAACTTGAAAGTCATACATTTTTAATGTTATCAAGGAGGCAGTATAACTGTTTTCTCATAGACAAATCTTTACAATATAAGCAAGTTATACAAGTAAACTGTTTCTAAGTCCTATAGCAGTTTCAATTATTTCGAAAAATTTTCCTTGCCTTTCATATTTTACACTTTCTTTAAATTTTTTAACATTATTCCAAATGATTGTGGTATTGAAGAATTTTGAATAAATTTAATGCCATCATTTGCATTATAGTTGGTCTTTATAAAACATAAACAATAAAC